AATTCCAGACATTGTTCTTCGCCTATTCGTGCATTGAAGTCACCTGTTATTATCACATTTTCGTTCTGAGCTTCCACTAATATATCACTTAAGTTATTGAAATCATTTTGCCAGTTATTGCAATTTAGATAAACTGGGATTAAACATAATTCTTGATTATTAGTGGTTATCTCGATTACTGTTGAGTTCATAATGGGCTTGTACCACAGTACCGCAAAATTGCAATTGCTTTCGTACACCATACAGTTTTCCTCCACTGGCTCGACCTCTATTTGCTGTTCTTATTGCAGTCTCCCAATGAAGATTGTATTCCCTAAATGTATTTTCAATATAATCTGTCTAACTTACTAAAAATGTTTCAAATAAAACAAATATGTCGAATTTTTTAACATAATTCATAAATTCTATATACTTATACTTATTAGTTAAACCAGCTACATTATGCGATAATATTTTAAATTTATATGCTGATTTAGTGTCTGACCTGTCTGCATTTGCATTTTTTTGAGTTTCACAGTATTTATTTTTTTGTTTGACATATTTGATTTTTATAAGCGAAATGTAGGCCAGTGTACTCCAATTTGACACGACTATTTCCTTCTCTGCTAACAGTTTTTTGGCTGTTTTATTTTCTTATATAGCGTGTTTCTCTCGATCACTTCATTAACTTCAGTCTCAACATACAAACGTTTTAATTCCTCCATAAAATCAGCTTCACTTTTTAACATAAATTTTGCGAGTCTTTTTGATGGCTTCAAGATCTCTATTCAGCTGTAATAAAGCTGATTTATTTTCCTGTCTAGTAAAGCTTAAGTCCTTTCCAATATAAATCTGAGTGCCACGCAGTTTTCTACCATTTTTTAAGACATCTTTTCCCATTTCAGAAGTTTCCAACTCCGCGATCACACCCACTTTATTTTTCATTCCAAATATCACTTTTGTTAATATTGATTTTTCGTTAATATTGATTTCAGGTCATTGAATGATTTTTCTTGCTTGTTACACCACTCTAAGTTTACGCCTTGATGTGAAAGTTGTCCTAACGGTTTACTCACGTTCGATTTAATTCCACAAATTTCTTATATGTTCACTTTTATTAAATAAAATGGTTTTTTTTTAAATTAGTGTATTTAATTTTTTATATTTTATTTCTAAATTTAAATATGCCATCTTTGCTTCCTCGTACAGTGCCGATGGCGCTTTCTTGCGTTTTTTTAAACTGCTTTGGTTAGGAGGTTGTTGCTGCTCCAACATCGGCAATTCTTCGTCTATCTGTACACCATCTCTTTCTGTTGCTGCTATTCCGACTATTGACGGACTATCTTGACCAATAATATCCAAGATTTGACAGTCGGAAGGGTCAAGTAGCATTTCTCGACCCTTAACCGCACCAGTTATTTTCATGTTATCGCGCTTAGCCTACGAATTAACTATTAAAATATTTATTTCATAAATAAATTAATAATTTACTATTGTGCGAGACTTCCAAATGCCAAACAATGCATCGCGAGCATATTTCCAATTGCGGTTAGTTCCAGCTAACCCGAGGGATTGTGCCTTATGCAATATTTTCGTCCAAGCATCAATTTTGTCTTATCGAGAGCACATGTTCCCTTTAAATGAAGCAAATAATATATCCTTATAAAAGAAATAAGCAAAAATCAATACCATTTATAATGAAAATCAAAACTAAATATATATTTTTAAATTTAAATATTTTGTAACGATACAAATATGTATAGCACTTAACTGACAATTTTTTATTAAACAAACTTAACGGTGCAACCCTTTTGTTCTTGAAAACCGCTAATACCACCTTTTTGTTTTGTAAATTTAATTATTTGTACACAACTGTACAAATATAGATATCAACCAAAACAAGGCCAAATAAAACGAATACAAAATGTTCAAATTTATATTATTCTTTTGTCCTTACCTTCTTCTCCTTTATTATTTCTAAAACCGCAAGTTTTTTATTCAATTTTAATTGTTTACTCATTATTATAAGTCACCACCTGCGAACCACTTGCACTGAATAATATAAAACATGAACTAAACATTTCTTTGTCCCAATTTACACTTTCATGAACGTAACATGAACATGAACTTGAAAACGAGAGGAAGCGAAGAGAATGTGATGTTACCCAGCGGGACTTTCAGCGCTGCGGCTGAATCGTTCGCTTACCTCTTCAAATTTTTAATGCAACATATCAGCGCTGTATGTTTATTTACCTTTTCTATTGATTTTTAAATAAAATACCAAACATTTTTTTTGGATGAATTATATTTTATGTTTAAGTTTTATAAAATTAAAATATTAATATTTACATAAAACAATATTATAACATATTTACATATTAATATTTTTACATATTAACTTATTAAAATATTAACTTATTTACATATTTACATATTAACCTATTTACATTTTAACTTATTTACATATTATGTTATTTAATAGCATTACTAGTGATATTAATATGTTCAGCTATTCTGCAGGAGAGTGTTGTCTCCGAACTAAAACTTTCAAAATCATTTTCTGTAAAAAAATAAAATATTTTGATATTTTGACCTAAATCATAGGTTCAAAGTTCTTATAACTAGTAGGGAACGCTGGATCCTTGGAAGAGTGATTTGTCCCAATATGACGAACGAGTCGGCTATGGAATTTTCTTGGAAAGATTAGGTCTTAGTTTCTCGCCACTACCAAACTACTGTAGTGTCTTCTGGGCAGAAGTAATGGCTATCCATTATGCTGTAAAATGTGTTCTTGGCAATCGTACCTCCGATGATAGTTATTCAATTTTCTAGGACAGCCAAGCTGCCATTAAATAACTAGAAGGCACCTCAGCCACATTAATTATTACTCAAAATTACAATGCGATGCACAAATTCCATAATGCGGTACTCTATTGATCGCTATATATTGCATAAATTTGCGAAGAAGAAATTACATGTTCTTAAATGCAATGAAATATGCGGAAATATTGAACACTTTCGGCGTACAGCACGGTCAGATATTGTTCAAAAGCTTTATAGATGTCAGACACGCTCTCAACATAATTGGTCGTATTATATGCGGTAGAAGCTTAGGTACGGTACTAAAACTTCTGTGTACTTACTCACTATAACTATGATAGATCTGTGCAAAGATTAATGCCTTGTACCAGATTCAACTTTGTTCTCTATTATCTATCACTTTTTAAATTATTACAAGAAGTGATAAAACATAAATATTCACATATTTCATCAAAGCGCATGGATAATGAATTGGAAATTCTGTTAGAAAAGCGACAGAATCTCAGACATGCGTTTCCGGTTATATTTACAATTGATGAAATATTGATGGAAATTGGTCACGAGCGCATTAAAAATTTATTGTAAATACAAGAAAATAGAAAAAAAAAAATAAAAAATCAATACATATGAAATACATATGAAATACATATGAAATTAAGTGGACCTTCACTGTTTCTGGATCTAATAACTGAAAAAACCAATTTTAAAAAAATCGGACAGAATTTGGGATGAATATTTTACTGCAGTTGGATGAAAATGTGGTTTTCTATCGTCAAAATATAATGAATTAACTAATTTCACTATTGAGGACTTAAATGCTGGAGGATATACAATTCATTCTTCAACAAGAGTTTTTTCGGACATTAAAATATTTCTTTACCACGGGTTTTTTTCAGACATTAAAATAAAACATCACGTTTTTTTTTAAACAAAAGGATCTGTTAAAAATAAAATGCAAACTAAAGAATAGGAATTTATAGATAATCAAATAAGTAGCGACGGACAAGGTAAGGATATACAAAGAGGTATTGTATAACCTTGAGAAAAATTCAAACTAGTTAAGAATAATACTTCCTAAACTGTTTAGTATATAAGATTAAGTATTTAAGATGCGAAATTATAGAAAATAAGCGAGTTGAACATTTGTTGTTTAGTGGATGGACACTAAAACAATATCTCATCTAGAAGTTGACGATGATCAATACAAACCTTTAAGTGGATCGCGTATATATACGTTCACCACAAACAATATTAAAATAGTTATTGAAGACGAGGATCAATCAATATTACTTTAAATGGTCAGTAACATCTGCTCTATATCCGTTCAATATTAAAAATAAAGAAAGATGTATGTCATATCATATTAATGATATCAGTTCAGATATCATAGAGCTACAAAATAATATCAAAATTAATTTTAAATATAAAAATTAATATAAAAAACTTCGAAATTAATAATCTTGAAATAAATGTAAAGGTATTTGGGTTAAATAATAATAATAATATAATAGGACCATATTATTCTACAAAAGAAGAAAAGTGTAGGTCAGGAGTTTATGTTGTTGTTTACTATAAAAAATTGTGCGTAGAATGTGAGATAAGAATGGGTCAAGAGTTTTTTAAATTCTTATAGAATTAAAAAAATGAAAAAGTGTTGATAAATGTTGACTTTTTGTAAGGTATATAAATGCCAGCGAAATGGAAAACATCTTTATAAATTCAATTCAACACACACAAGGAACGACTCAAAAATGGAATCAAAAACTGATGTCATTTGCTCCAAATGCAGTAACGAGATTGTAGATAGGGACTACATCTACAATATAATGCAGAAAACTGGAGATCAATTTGGAGAGAGATGTTGGGAAGCGCCGAAGCTGCTTCGGGCATATTGGGAAGCAGTGGAGGAGTTCAAAGCGCATCCTGAAAACGAACGGCTACTCAAAAGAATCGCGAAAATAGTTCTAGTTTTTCCAACTTATGGTCATGAATATAACATTGGTTATATTCATCCAATTTTTAATTATATTAGTTGCAAATATTAATAATTTTTTATAAATATATAAATGTATATAAAATAAGAATAAATTAATAAAATAAATATTTGATTTTTTAATATTTTTTATTGTTGAGGAAAAACAATAGTATATATAAAAGTTTTATTTAAATGTATAATTTTTACATTTTGTTATATTGTAGTAAATGTTATAATAAAATGGCATGAGTTTCCTTGCTTCTTCTTCCTGTCTTTGTTTTAGAAAGCAACAGCTGCAGGTGTCTGGCCCAGATATAGCATTTTCACTTGACCATGCACAATCTTCATAATACTTTTAAATTATTGATTGTCTGTATAGAACATATTGAATGATGGAATAAGGTTGTGTTTAATGACGGATCTTCATATGAATCCAGTAGTGATGTTGGATCTTCTTCAGAGCGTTAATAATTTTATAAAATGGTCCAACAAGAGTGAATTCTTTTCCACTAAGCACATAAGCAATTTGCTGGCTCTCCGCAATGACATCATTGCCTCAGATTTAATAAAACCAAAAAAGCAAACAAATATAACTGAGAATATGTCACGGAAATATTGGTTTTAAACTTGCCGAATGTGCCGTCTGCGTCTCCATTAATTTTGGTTAATTTTGTTGGCTTGAAACATTATCGCAATTATTTTTACTTTTTTTGATACAAAGGTTTCTTTAATACACTACATTTTTATTTAAAAAAATATAATATGTACATGTAGTGTAATTGAAGTTTTCTGCAAATGTAAGTAGCTATTACTAATGTATATTATTTTTAGCAAGTGATAACAAATCTTTTTTCTTCTCAGTTCCAACTATAAATTCAGTGGTTTGAAGAAATAAAAACATTCAATCAAAAAACAATGGAGCAATATACGATTAAGGACGACTTTCATTATTTCACCATCTCTGAAGATGATTCTGAAGACGAAGCAAAGCATATTGTAAAAACTAATATTTGGAGGGAGAAACTTTGTCAACGAAATTTTGAACAACAGTTGAACAGATCGTATACAGAGGGAGCAAATAATAGTAATGATGATCATAATGATGACGCTAATGAAATCAATGTACAAATAATCTACAACACTGATATTGACACAACACTTTATCCAATCATGGAGGAATCTGATGACGATATTCATAAACAAAAAGAAAGTAACAATATCTTCACTAATAATAGATTTCACCCTCTTTCTTTTCCTCCTAAGCGAACTCAAAAAAGAATAAGACTGCAACCAATATACATATATATAAATGTTAATAAAAAAAATATAACACAAAAAATTTTAAATACACCTCCACGGCACACATCAAAACCAAACGGGCTCAAGCGGATCAAATGATAGACTCATCATCAGTAAAAAAACTCAATATTAAGAACAAAGTGAACATATAAAAGCAAGTCATAAAACCAGTCATACTCTACGGCTGTATGGCGTTCTATCAAGCGACAAATTTCATTACGCAACAGTTTCAAAGTTCCAAAGAGGGCAAATTATAGCACTAATCCACATAACATCAGCGGACATCCACAGAGACCGGAGAACCGAATCAGTTGAGAAGTATATTAAGGATCGTGTACTGAAACTGTTAGACACAATAGATAACTATAACAACACAACAGTTAATAGCCTAAAATCAAGAGATCACTGTAATCAGTGGTAGATATAAAGACTTCAGTTCGATTATCACATACGTAAATCCCACGAATTTACGTGTCTTTAGTGAGACACAAGATTGTCCACAGTTAAAATGGAGTGAAAGTGACGAATCACCAACTCAATAGCACACTCATACGTAAGTTACTTAGAAGTAACTTTCCACATTGCAGATCTGAGAAGTGTCATAAAACTAGTAAAAAATAAAATATTTTTTTTATAATAATGAATGGATTCATTCAATGAATTGAACAACGTCTAGAAACTGTCACTCCCAGTGAATCTTCGCTGGCGTAACCAGATATCTATGTCGCCAGTTAGTTATTAAACAACAATATAATAAATGATACACGTTCTTTGCTGAAAATATTAATCTACGCACCGTTTTTAAATGTAAAATTAATAAGACAAAAGAATCAATTGAAAACAAATATACAGTAGGAAATCGTTTACTCCAAAATGAAAACCGCGACTTCATCAGGAAGTTAGAAAAATAGGAGAAATCTCATGCGCAATTTACACTCAGTCTAGCTGAGAGTAATAAAAAAATTGACATCTTACAAGATCCGGTCAAGAACTTGAAACTTAAGCTATATTTTCAAAAGGATGAATTAGAAGATAGTACACAACTTTTGGAGAGTACTAAAAAGCATCTAGAATGGACCAACGCAAAATTAATTAACTTCTCATCTGCTCGAGAAAGCATTAAAAATTTACAGGCCCATCGACCTCCAGCTATGTTGCGGTGAATAAAACAACTCATATTTACAAATGAAAAGGAACAAGAAATACTAAACTTTAAACTTGAGAATACCGCAATACTCACGGAATTGGGATATATTTTTCATTCAGTTGTTACGAAGTTGTTACAGAGTCGACAATACTTGTAGAAAAGCTAAACAAGCGATTAAAGAAACAGAACTGCGAACTAAAGTTGAAGTATGAGAAGTCGCTAAATGGAAGGAACTTAAGAAACTTGACTCACGAAAAGGGTCTCGAGTTCATCAGTGGAATGATCGACTACTGCAAACACGAAATCAAAACATGCAATGGGAAAACGTACGAACTTGAGTTCAAAATTATTTTATAATAATATATTTAAAATTAAAGTTTAAGAAGGAACATTAGGTATTCCCATCTTAGTTTCAATAGTTCATAATATAATATAAATCATAATAATATTCAATCTTATATATATTTCTTGCTTTTATAATGTGATATAATTTCTTATGGAACTATTTTGTAGAGATTTGGAGTATGTACACTTATATCAATGGAAAGGAAAAAATTATTATAACAATTTAATAATAATAACATTTTATCAACAATTTATTTATGATTAATGTGTTTTTATATTAATTTCTTCGATTTAAACACAAACCCTGGTATATTTATTTTAAAGGGTTGCATTCGACATTTTTCGCCTTAAATTAGCTAATTTATAGGCAACCAGCTCATTTATAGGATAGATTTTTGTATCGTAAATCATATATAACCTCATTAGTGATTATAATGAGCAAAAGCGCCTAAATGAGGCAGTGTGAATATGCTATTAGTCTGTTAACAAATTCAGAAATTTCTAGTTCTGTCAAATCGACTTTAAAATGGTTGAGAAGAAATGTTTGATATTTAAAAATCTCGTTCCCCTAACACCTCATCTCAAAAATTCATGGATAACACTGAATAATACTCATTAAAGAGTACCAGTTTTTATACAAACAGTCGAAATGTAAAATTATTTTTCCAAATTTTATTATTTGTAATTATCATTAATTATCATATTAAACATATATATTGTATCATTAGTAAAAGACGTTTCTTACATAAAATCATTTCATTTAATAATAATGAATAAATTTTGCTATTCCAAATACATTTAATATAACAGTTAGCTTCAATAGACTACCGGTATATAAATTATAAATATGAACCGATTATAGTAAGGAACCCTTTGAAATATCCAATTTGAATAATTAAATCTAGAAAACACAATTCTGATGCACATATTTTGTGTAGTTGTAGTGTTGTGTAGCGAGAAAATAAATTGGAAGAATATAGGTCCTACCTAAAATAAGATAAATATAAAATATAACTTTGAAATTGATATTGTGTGTGTTTGAGAAAAATATGCCTAAAAAGAAAAAACAGTTGAGGCAGTTCAACATGGGAGACTTTCTCTTTGCAAGACTCCAGGGCTATGCAGCATGGCCTGTTAAGGTAATAAAGTGCAGTAGAAAGTATTACAGAGGTTTTGCTATGGAACCACAGACACGGCAAGTATTAAAGTTGAAAACATCTTAAAGTGTAAAGAAAATAAAACGAATTCTGCACTGACCGACAGAATAAAAGAGTTTCTATTTCTGCAAGGCAATTCAACAAATTGAAGCGGCTTTAAAGAGCAAAGATTCTACTCCAATATTTTTACATCTAGGAAGAACCAATATTTTAATATTTATTAATGCTAGTCCTTCAGAGATGTTTGGAAATCCTCCTTGTGTTCCGGGGCAGATGCTTTCGGACTTCAAGCAGAAATCGTCGGAGACTGATTTCGTTTCGTCGTTGCGAAAGCCGTTAGCGAGTCAATGGGACGCTGTCAACCATCTGTGTATGTTCTGCGTGACGTTATCAATTGTAAGCACGTTTTTCTATTTCCGCAAAGCAATTCAACAAATTAAAGCGGCTTTAAAGGGCAAAGATCCTGATCCAATATTTTTATATCTAGGAAGAACCAATTTCTTAGTAGCTCATTATTGTGCAAAAGATGTACAGGGTGGTTATACGTTTGAATTAGACTGTGACGACCCAGTAGGCTATGGATTTATTGAAATAGAAAAGTAAAATTTAGTTTCAAATATTTTGAGTTCTTTTAATTGAACTGAGGAAAAAAAAACAAGAAACCACAATGGCGATATTTAGAGCGGATGTTGATAATGTATGGTAATTATACAGTTGCATATGAGAGCGGATGTTGATAATTTTATAAAAAAAAAAAAACAAGAAATCACAATGGCGATATTTAGAGCGGATGTTGATAATGTAATATGAAATTGAAAATGGGTATATAAAGGACAGCAAAAAGTTTAACAATTCAATAAAAAATCAAAAGAGCAACTACAATGGAATCCGGAAACAAATCCATTTGTTCAAAGTGCAGAAATGAAGTAGTCGACAAGGACTATCTAATAAATATACTGAGGAAGACAGGTGACAAATTCGCAACGGGATGTTGGGATGCGCCTGACTTGGTGAGAGCCTATTCAAGTGCTATAGATGAGGTCATAGCACATCCTGGAAAATTAAAGTACTTAAAACGTGTTGGCAAAATTGTGGAGGTCTTTCGGACATATGCAGATGAATACGACATAGGATATATTCATCCTATATTTGATTTTATCAACGCATAACGTTGATAAAATTATTTATTAAATAAACTGTTTTAAGTAAATAAAAAAAAAAAAAAAAAAATTTTTATGTTTTTTTTATTTTAATTTTTTTATTTTTATTTTATTATTTTTTATTTTAATTTTAATATACATATTGTATTAAATAAATTAAAAAAAATAAAAAAAGTTTTGTATGTTTTTTATTTAATTTTAATATATATTGTAGTCTATAAAATATAAAAATAAAAAAAATAAAAAGAAACTTTTGTTTTAAAAAATTTGCGTGTTTTTATTTTAATTTTTGATGTATACATATACATATAATTTTTTCGTTTTTATTTATCAATATTTAAATTTATGAAATTTCTTAGTAATATTACAGTTTTTCTGGAACATTTACATAAATTTGTTAAATCTTCTTTAATTTTATGATTTTGACAATATTTCACTTCTTTATTAGAAGACATATTTGTTATATATAGTATATCTAATTTTGGACAGTTAAGATCATCCAAGTTTGTCATAGGAATATTTTCACCAATCATTTTTTTTAACCATCTTATTTTTTCAAATCCTTTGACATAGATAGTTGAGTTTTCATTATAATGTAATTCTTTTAATAGATATTTTTTAACGTCCATAAATTTAATTTCACCGTCTGACCACCTTAAACCATGATGATGATTATATAACCAATTGACTGCAATCCTATCTTTTAATGATATGCTACAATATTCGTAAGGTGATCGTATTAAAAACGTCTTAATTTCCGAGTTATCATTTTTAGAAATGCTCAATTCTTTAACTATAAACTTGTTATTAACGAAAAATCCCTGAGCGTCTATAATTATTTCTTTGTCATCGACCATTTTTTCACTTCTAATGTCAGCTGCTCATAAAATAAGACTGATTTTGAAGGAATATAGATATAGGAATATAGATCAGGAATATAGATTGAATCTAAAATGATAAATTCAACAACTGAACTACAGCAGATGCTCGCAATTCTTAAGTAATTTGATAATAGATTAATTAAGTTTTTAATATCTAAATATTAAATTTTAATATCTAGATATTTAATTTCTACTTAATTTCTAGATATCATATTCACACGCATTCATACAGATTATACTGAGCTATGAATATGTAACGTATTCGGTTTCTTAAATAACACGGTCTGTGCCTCTATGCATATATGCCACTTGGCAAAAAATTAATTTATAATATAAAAACTATTCTAAGAACTGAAAATAAATTTAAGATTTTAGAATTTTATTTAGAAACTAAATTTAGCTCCAATTATCTTCAAAATTATCTTCAAAATCAGAATTTCCGAACATTAAAAAGAGCAAGCGAATACTGTATTTGATTTTGATTTGCACTAAATAAATATTTAGCATGGAACACATTGCATTGTAATTTATTATTTTCCCAAGATATTTTCACTAATACTTAATTTTTTTAAGGTCCCTTATATGTCTTTTATAAAAATTTTCCATTTCAACAAGTTAAGACGATTTTACATTAAATCTGATTTCATTAAATATTTTGAATATTTTAAGGTGACGTTCATGATAAAATTTAATTTTAAATGTTTCAAAAGTGTTGTGCGATCAGTGTGGCCAACATTTGAAAATTTTATCCCCCTAAAAGCCATTCGAAAAACCCCTAAATCCCCCTAAACTAACATTTTGTACAAAATATGAAAAAAATGTAAGAACTGTTTTCTGTAGCATATATATTTT